TCAATTCCATTGTTATGGCCACATCCATTGTCAGTGCCTTTGAGCCTAGGGGCTCATCACTCGCACTCACTCCAAACGCATGGCCAGGGAGTCGGTTCCCACTGATAGTGATTCCATGGGACGGAGTGGAACTGCCCCGGGGCTGCAAGGCTGTCCCTCTTTTCTAAGGTACCAGGGACCATCTTTGTTCTCTGGAGGAGCTGCTGGTAGGTTCGCATCTGTGCTTAGCAGCACTGCTTGTAATCCGCCATGGTCACCAGGGCTCCTGGGGATCAGTACTATCAGAAGCCAGTTCTTTTGTGATCCATAGGGTTTTTACTGGTTCATATTAGGAACTGGATTGCCAAGTCTCTCTTCTGAGTCTGTCTTTCTCTGGAAGCTCTGCTGAAACCTGTCCACCATGGGTGACCTGCCGATGGTTGAAATACTGGCCAGCGCTATAGCAGCCCACATGTCACCAAACTGACAGATAGTTGGTGATTGAAAACAATAGCAATGGTTAACCCAACCGACAATTGGATGAGTCCTATGTTTCTGGGGAGATGCAACTTGCTTTTTAAGATTTCACGATGTTTTTGGTTAATCCATTAGTCTTTCCCTCATGGAATCGATCATAGCAGGCTGCATATTTGTAAACATAATGGTCACTCTTAATTTAAATTATACAAGGGCTTTAACGGAAGTGGATTTTGTCATATAACCAATATCACGGCCTCCCCTCCCCCGCAAGCCTCTTCCAAACTACATGCTAGGCTGGAATGCCAGCCTCATTAAATGGGGAAAAAAAAAGATACTTTAAGATCTAATCAGGCACTGTACTGATGTTCTAAGTGGTCAAAAAAATAAAATTACTTCAGTAGGTTTGTCAGTTCTGTTGTTAGTCCAGTCAAGGGGCCCCATAGAAAAGAGACAGGGGAGCTGAGAGAAAACAGCAGAATTCTAATATGCTTTTTAAAGGTTCTTGGTCAGAAGTATAGCAATTCAGATACCCCTGTTTGAAAGCAGCAGGACAGACTTGTTAGAGGACAAAAGCTCCAATTAGTATTTTCCACACCCTTTCACAATTTTCTCTACTGCTTTTGGCTTTGACACTCTTTATGCCAGGGCCTTTGTACTGGCAAAGAGGCGGGTGGACGGGTCTGGGGGCAGGGCGGGGGAAGGAGGAAAGGAGGCTTGAAAAGATGGTACACAGGGCCCTTTGGACGCCACAAGGTCTCCCCGCAGAAGTCAAGTAGCCCCCAAGGGAAGGGGAGCTGAAGGGGAGACAACCATTCCGGACCAGCAGGGAGGCCAGCAGGAGGGAGCCTACCTGAGTTGACAGAGATTCGGGCTTGGCGAATAACCACCTGCGGAGCAATCGGTGTTTCTGGCTGCAGCTTGTGGAGACCTTTGGAGACCTGGAGGAGTTTGCTGGAGACATCGAGCCCGTACAGGAACCGGTCCATGAGGAAGACCAGAGCCGAGGCCGTAGCACAGTCCTGAGCCTGGATGGATGCTCTCAGGGACTCCTGAAGGAACACCCAAACAGCGTCTGTCACCAGACAGGAATAGAGCACAGCAGAAATACGAAGGCAGTCTGAGGACCAAGCTCCTCCTTTTAGGTATTTTCATTAAAAACAACATTAACAACAACAACAAAAACTGTAGAAAAAGGAAGAAAGAGATCTTATGAAGTTACTGG